AGAAAGAAAGAAAGAAAGAAAGAAAGAAAGAAAGAAAGAAAGAAAGAAAAAAGGTTACAAAGTAGAACACTGAAGACACTCCATACTTCAGGTGTGTGTCCGTGTACATGCTGTAAGAAGAGACATTAAAGCAGTAACAAGAAAGGAAGGAAATCTTTCTTGTTAAAGGAGTGGAATATCTCAAGAGAAAATCAGCAGAGTCTGCCAAGACGGGGGAAGCTGACAATAGCCCTGCTTGTCAAGTAGGCTGCATAGCTCAGGTCATGGTACTCTTGTACTGAGGAGAGGGATTTCTGTTGCAGTTTTCCTTCACTACTTCTTCCCTTACTTGTAACACACAGCACAGTGCCTTACATGGAGAAAAATCTGTGAAATACTTATATGAAAGAAGTGAACATATCTTGAACTGGATAAATATTTATATAAATCATATAGTGAAAACAAATGACTTCATATTTTTAGGGTGGAAGATGATATATAAACATAGAGCACTGCATTAAATAAAAGCACAATAGAGAACAGACTAGCTTTGTGTCAAAGTATCATGTCCTCACGGAAGAAAATAAGCAATAGAAAATGGATGCACTGTTTACTCAAGCTGATTATGCTACTCAGAATCATACTGTACTTGTGACTTAAGAAAGGAATACTTGGAAATTACTAAGAAGTATTCAAACAGTTTAATGAAGATCAAAGTTTAAGAAACATAAAAAGCAGTAGAAGGAAACAGTATAAATTACTATGATAGCTAATCTTGGTTGTCAACTTGACCACATCTGGAATCAGCTAAAACCCAAGCATCTTGGTACACCTGTGAGAAATTATTCTTCACTGCATCATTTAAGGTGGGAAGACCCATCCTAAATGGGAGCCACATCTTCTCAAGGTAGTTTACATAAAAGGGCACAGAAGAAGGGGACTTTACTTTTTGCCTGCTTGCCCACTCTCTCACTGGTAAGTTCATCTCTCTCCTGCTGCCGAGACATTCCTTCACTGGCCTTAGAACCTACTTCTTCCAGACTCCAAAACAGACTTGAAGATAAGCTGAGACACCTATCCTCTTTGACTAAACAGCTACCAGATTCTTAGACTTTCTGTCAGGAGACAGTCATTGTTGGACTAGCCAGACCACAACCTGTAAAAGCCATATAAATCCCCTTTTGGTTTATATAGATTCATTCTGTCGGCTCTGTTCCTCTAGAGAACCCCTATACTATTTTCGTAGTATTTTTATGTGAAATCACTATATATTACCATGCTATTAACCTTGATAGCAATATATTCACCAGTCGCTTTAGTTCATTATACCATGAAACTGATTGCTGTTTTAAATCATCTACACTGTTGGCTTATGTCATTGGTAGAGACCTTGAATGTAGTTTATTTTACTTAATGCTTTGGAAATACATTCATTTTCCTAAAACTAGGTATTCAAAACTGTGTTACCAAAGCCTGGAAAAGCATGAAAAATTTATTTTAGTTATTATATACCTCGTAGCACCCTTATAGACAATTTTCTTTTCTATATAACTTTCCACATTTTGACTCTGTTTTGGTTTAATTTTATGTCTTTCTTGCTCTTTTTCTTCCTTCTCACTTATATTTAATTAAGTATCTTTAATACTTCAGAAAGTTGATTCAAATCTTTCCTGAAATAGCATACAGGTCCAAAATAAATAGCTGTTTAGTTCATTAAGATGTTGGACTGGGAAGATGGCTCAGCATGTATGAGTGCTTGCCACCAAGCCTGATGGTCTCTGCTCAATCCCCAGGAACCCATACAGTGGAGGAAGGAGAGGATCAATTCCCACAAGCCATCTGACTTCCATAAGAAGGTCCACATGTCCCATCCCCTGCACTAAAGAAACAAGAAGATAAAGTGAAAAATGTAGTTACTAGGAAGCTTCATAAAATTGGCTATTTCAGACACTTCTTTTTGCAGTTTTCTCCTTTATTATAAGATAAGGCTATCATGCTTTAATTTTACAATCTTAAATAATAATAAAATGAAAAGTCTTCATTATAATGATTTGGAGAGGATGGCCGACTCTGACAGGGTTTCTCAGACAATGATTACTGGCCATGATAAGGCCAGACAGGACTAAGGACTAAGAATAGACAAATAAAGACCTCAGAGGGTCTGTCTTTTAAGGATTTATAAATGATGCTTGTGTATTGGCAAGAGGGGAGGAAGGACACACCACTATTACAGTGGACAACTCAAGAAATTTGGACAGCTGGACATAAAATGCCTGGGGGGAAGGCAAGTACTTTGCCAGGAATGCAGAGGTGCAATAATCTTGAAAGAGGTTGTAAATTTTGCCATGTGAACAAAGAACAATCAGAGAACATGGGCCTAGTTTTTGTTGTTTTCTTCATTTTTTTTTATCTTGATAAAGTTAAACTGTATTCATTGTAAGAAAATCTGAAGATTCAGAGAAAAATAAAATCACTTGCAAACTCACTACCAGAGATTAAAAACTAAAGCACCTCCGCAGTCTACACCCTTTTGGTATCCACTGGGGCTTTGTTTGATTTGCATTTTTTTCTGTAAGATTGTACATGGTAGAAACGTATAAGCTAGTGCTTCTCCATTGCATCTCACAACCTAGTTACTGTTGGTTTTTGCCTAGAAAACAATCCTGTCTTATGCAGCAAGTTTAGGGTACCTATTGTTTAGCTTGAAGCCCCCTTAGAGACAAACACTGTAAACCAGCATGTGAGAGACCACACAACCTTACATAATCAAAAGGACATTTTATCCAGTGAATAACTGTGTTCTTCATGCATACCTGTTCACATCAACCCTGAATGGTTTTTCCCTTCGAAAGGTGAAGGTGCACTTGCCAACACCAACTCAAGTGGAATGGGGCTGGGATGTGGACCTGATCTCCAATGTTCTTTTCTTCAGAACATTGCTACTTAGATCACATAGCACCTTGTCTCCATGAAGGAGGCACAGGAGTACTCACTCACCCAGCAACAGCTCACAGAGGTGGTCACCTGGCACTGTGTCTGTTATTCAAGCCAGGGGGCTGGCTTGAAGAACCACATACCTACTAAGCTGCTTGCCCAAACTATGAATCCCAATCATTTCTTGGAGTTATTAAATGTCTTTAACACTCAATCCTTTTATTGATTCCTTACTAGTCTATTGTTATAACTATCCTATAAGTGATTTTTCCCAGCAGCAGTATAGAACATTAATCTTTTCCATTTTCTCTTATAAACAGTAATAGATATTTTACACATAAAACTTTGTTCACATCCTCACGTCATTCCTAACAGTGGGTTTCTAGAAGCAGATTTCCAAAGACATTTTTAAATTTCAGCACAGGCTACTAACATGATTCTAGAAAGCTGGCACCAGACATCATTTATACGTGGTATGAACAGCTGCTCTTGGGACAGACTCTATTAGAGTAATAGACTGTTTACTAACAGAAGCAGAAAGAAAGAAACTTCTTGTTCCATTTACACTTTAGTATAGAAAAAACAGACACTAAATACAAAAATTAACTATTGGAAAGGTAAAATCATTTTTGTGATAACTTCCAAGACTCTAGTTGGGCTGAACGAAGCAGGGCTGAAAACAAGTATTATGGAGTCTCACCTAATGGAGCATCTGTAGCTCCAAAAAGAAAACAAATTTGCTGATGGTAGAGAGCAAATGTGCTATATGAATACGCACATATGAACCCAGAGAGAAGGGGACAGAATGCAGAGGGCCCGCACACGTCAAAGCAAATGGAGTCCTAGCACAGAGAGGGAGGAGATGAAGAAACCCACTCCCAGCCAATGTGTAACTGTTGACAGTGTATTCCCAACATGAAACGAGACTGCATTCAGACCAACAATAGCTCCTTTAGCTGTTCAGGATATTTGATTCTCAGATACAAAGGAAAGGTATTTTTCCAATAATGTATTCTACAAAGAATCAAACTGCCATGCTACATAATGTCACAAAATGTCATCAGATTTTTTTGGAAGTTCACTCTACACTGTGAATGCTTTTTCCGATTTTTAAGTGTTGCTAATTAAATAATAAAAATGAAAGATCTTGTTCATAATTATAAAAGTTACTTCTCTCAACTTCTACCTAAGACTCTGAGTTAAGCTAATTTGACTACTTAGTTGCTGTCTGTATCAGATAATTAGCCTCAGAACTGTCAAACCCCAATCATAGATCAAGAATGAATTTTTAAATGATAGGTAATGAGGTTAAATAGAATGAAGGTCTCAAAATCCACTTTTTTCCATTACGTAACTAAAGTTATAAGTTAGAGAGATGGTTATGAGTACTGTGGCTTCGATTCTAGGGCTTAAAAAATACATAATTATCCTTTCCACTTCCTCATTTATTGTCAAGTTCCTTTTGTAAGACTCTTTCACGCCCATGTAGCAAATCTGTACAATTTGTGAAAGAGTCAGAGATTTATAATCAGTGTGCTACTTGGAAGTTCCTACCTGAGCAAAGAGGGGTAGAAGTGTGACATGCACGAAATCCAGTGGAATGGTTGATTAAACAATGGTGTTAAGGAACTTGATGCCGACTCATCCATACCATGCTGAAAAGTCCTAGGCAAACAAAATTAATTATTTCAGAATATGCAGGAAACATTAACTGTGGAGAACACTGAAATAACTGGAAATTTACTCATATTTTACAAACTAATTTTTTAAATAGGAAGTGGTGTCATTTTACTGAGCACAATGCATCCACCAAAAACAACAGCAACACACACAACACACGCACATGCACATACACATACACATGGACATACACACAGCAAACCAAGAATCAAGAATTAGGATCTTAATGGGCCGTTCTAGAACAGTTCTTACACAGGGGAAGGTATAGTTATGACATTATGATTTAATTTCAGAAATTATAAAATCTGTCAAGGATAAATGCCCACATAAAGTACAATGAATATAATCTATGTCTCTCACAACTAATATTCTTTCACAGGGTTTTAATCAACCTACACTTAATAAGTGCTAATATTTGTAATATTAGCTTCACTAATGTAAAAACATGTAACATCAAATACATTTTTAGTCATCAAAGTGAGTTTTATATATTAGACAATAAAGAAAAACTTAACAATAACTATATACATTTTTAATGGCCCAGAAAGAGTTTGTAAGAGGAACTTAATGTATTATCATGAAATGTATTATCATGATTTAAAATATACAATACCTTGTCCAGAATAATTTGTCTATCACTACCTTTTGGAAATGACTAATATTTTTCTAAGTTGGCTTAAATTCAACTATAGATCTTGATCTAATAAGGAAGGATTTGTTTCACAAGTGCTTAGTAGCTAGCTTGGCTAGTAAAAATTTTATAACTGGACAATATATTTATCCACATCAATTCAAGACTAAAGATTTAGAAATGGAATTGTTTGAAGTGGTGCTTTACATATAATAAAAAATACTGTCTTTTTAAAAATTAAACTATTTTATATCACTTTACCCCTTCCCTTTCACAATGCATTCATGATGAATGCAGCTCCAACAGTACATCACAGAAGAGATGGCAGAAAGGCTCTGGGCCAGAGGACTGGAGAGTATGATGTCTATCCTAGAAATGAATGCCTACACAAATAAGACCTGAGAAAGGACAATATCAGTAGACATGCAAGCACAGAAGGTAGAACCTGGTCAAAACAGAAAACAATTTTGTTGTGAAAAACCCATCCCTATCTTCTCACTCGACATCTTGTATTTTGTTTTGTCATATTTTCTAAACTTTATCTCCCCTCATTGTTTTGTAGAAATGTATTATCTTCAATTAAGTCTACTTAGAAGAGTTTTTTAGACATTTAATATATCACCATCCCCTTAAAGCCCCCCCCTTTTTTTTCAGCTTCACTAAATTTCAGATCAGAGAAAAATTTCCCAAGTAGTTGTCCAAGTCAGGCTATACTCAGTCAACATAATCCACTACAAAGACAGGCCTAGGCTAGCTCAGTACCAGGGTGTGCTTTTCTAAGAGATCCCTCTTTGTACCAGCAATGTAGAATCCCTAAAGAATTTATAGCATGAAGTGATATTAGCAGTTAGCTGCTTCAAATCTATAAAACAGAATTCAATAGCAGTAAGGGATACAGATCAGAGGAGATTAAGGATAATGACTATGGGGGCTGGAGAGTTGGCTCAGAGATTAAGAACACTGGCTGTTCTTCCAAAGGTCCTGAGTTTAATTCCCAGCAACCACATGACAGCTCACAACCATCTATAGTGAGATCTGGTGCCCTCTTCTGGTGTGCAGGCAGAATGTTATATAAATAATAAACAACTACATCTTTTTTTTTTTAAAAAAAAGATAATTACTATGACACTGTATCAGATCCGCAAGAGGAGCCTAAACTAGGAGACAAATATGATAAATCATAAGTTATTAGATGAACAAAGTCATTCTTTAATGAAAGTTTAAGATGATATGAGATAGGAGAGAAAGTTGAGAGTAAAGGAATAGCCAAGAGAAACTCACAGGAATTTAGCTTTAAATAGTCTCAGAGGTCCATGGACATTTGAAAAACATGTAAAGAGAGGCATAGAGTAGGAATTTGAATTTACTGGTCCAGTGTATACAAAAGAGGTCTGATTTGAATATCCCCATGTGGAAGTCATCACATGTTGAGTGGATGAATTCACCCACTGAAAGAGTGTGAGATGAAAAGATAGTCAAGGACAGATCTTTAGATCTGCATTTAGTGTGACAAGAGAAAAAGAAGCACTAAAACAAAACTGCAGAGAAAAGGAATCAGAGCAAAGGCAAAGAGCCAGGAAAAAATTATGTTAGGGAGGCTGGGCAAGAAGGTAGCCGACGATGTCAACAGCTGCAGAGAAGGCAAAAGGAAGACTCTACTGGAGTTAGTCATTGCATGCATATGAATGCCACTGTCCTTATTTAGCTGGATGCGGGAGAAATCAAACTGCAGTCACTGCGTGAGTGGTAGGACACACAATAATTGGATCTGAATGCAAACACATTGGTAGAAAGAACACTTAATATTGGAGAAAGTCAGGAGCATTAGGCATTAAATAGAAATTATACCTCAAAAGACCAAGGCCATGGAATGGTAGATAAAATTAATCAAGAGCTTAGTTGAAAAGATGTGCTATAGCTAAGTAAAAGAGAGACAATGATAAAATGTATATAAAGAGATGTAGTGGTAAACTGGGATGAAAATACTTATCAAGAATGAATGTGGTAAACCTCCAACCTACAGTTTTTCATGTCTGCAGAATGTGCTGGGACCAGAACCTAGCATAACCGTTATCAGGGACCTCATCCAGCAACTGACGGGAGTAGATGCAAAGTCCACAGAGAGTCCTATAGAGGAGGCAGAGGAACAACTGGAGGAGCCAGACAGTCAAGGATACCAGAAGAATATGGCCCAGCCTTGATGTGAGAATTTGTGCCTGGTTTTATTATAGCTTGTTATGCCATATTTGGTTAATGTCTCTGTAAAGCCTGCTGTTTTCTGAGAGGAAGTGAAGTGCAGGTGGGGGAGGGGATGAGGAAGAAACTGTGGGGAGGGAGGGGAGGAAAAACTGCAGCTAGGATGTAATATAAGAGAGAAGAATAAAGAAAAAAATTAAAAGAGTGGATATGGATTGGGGATAGAGCCTAGTGGTAGAGTAATTACATAAGGACCTTGAGTTGAAGTTCCCAGGACCAGAGTAAAATGTGAGAGGATAAGACAAATGCCTAATAATCTGTTTTTCTCACAGAAGTGGAGAGCAAGGCAACCTGTTAAGAAAACACAGAATGAAGTCAAAGAGTTGACCAAAGTTGAGACAAATGGAAGATTTACCCAGCAGTGCAAATAATGTACTGTTGGCAGGTACAAAGAGACTTAAGTGATGATCGACTTGTGGGCCAGAGTGTGATTAGAGGCCAGCTGAAGTTGAGGGGAGAAAGCAAGGGCAAGTTGCTAGGAAGAAGGTGCCGGTTAAGGAGATGGGAGATACAATAAAAGCTCGCAAAGAAACAGTGTCAAAGGAAGCAATGGACTAGGAGAGAGGTCTTAGCACTAGACCATGTCACAGCTGATGCACACCTGTCCTGTCTGCCTTAGAGCTCTTTGCACAAGCCCCTATGTGTCCAGAATGAGAGCACGCCTCCCGCAGAATGCCTTCACCATCGCAGTCAGCCGGCTCCTTGGTGTCGTCTTAACAATATATTTTCCTTAGGAGGTATTTCCTGACCCTGCCACCTCAAACATATCTCTTGTCGCTATCTCTTCACTATCTTTTTTCTGTTTCTTCGAGGATTTCACTTTACCTTCAATCAGTCTACATTTGCTTTTGTCTTTTTCTTTTATTTTATGTCTTCTCTGTGCCCCTAAGAGAAGGTAGCTGAAGGTAATTCAGAAGGAGTACTGTCACAAATTGGAGAAATGGACCCTACAGAGTTTGGATCTTGCATAGGCATTATTATTAGATTTTTTAATGTTTTGGCAACTTACGTAGCCTCCATTTCCAATTTATACAATAGGGACATTACAGTGTGTGCGAGGATTCAGAAAAAGCATGGTACCTTTATGTAAAAACAAACAAACAAACAAACAAACAAACCTGCAAAGTGTTCTAAAGAACCAGGGCACACAAACATCTCAAAACTAGTATGAGATTGCTAATAGTCTATACAGTTACCTACTTGCAATTTTATCCCCAAGAGCAGAAAAAAAAAAATACTATAGGAGCTGATAATAAGGGAATGGTTAACTGTTGCCAAATTTTCTTAGATTAAAAACCAAAGAAAACACAGTATTTAGGTGAGTGTTTCTGTTGGGATCGTAACTTTTTTTTTTTTTTGAATCCACAGATTCCTGGGCATGGCAGTCTTAAGGCTTCTTGACTACACAGGATGCCATGGCAGATGTTTATGGTCTCAGAGGGGGTGTGATCTGTGTGAGCATTTAATTCCACAGCAAGAGCCCAAATTAGTTTCATTATTCTGGAGAGTATAAGCGGCTGAAAATTGGCCTGCAAGCTCAATGGGGGGATGAGATTATGAATTCACTATTAGATAACCTCTAATGACATTTCAGAATACAGCTAAGAGATCGTACTCTGAATAATTCATATCAGAGTATAAATACAACCCTAAAACCTAGAGAGTTATAGTTTTCTCCAAAACATCTTTCTTTATTCTTCCCTCATAAATTACATCCCAAACACAGTTCCCCTCCCTTCTCACTTCCAGCCCTCCCATTTTTTTCCACCATCCACTCCTCTTCTGTTTCTCTTCAGAAGCGGGCAGGTCTCAAGTAAAATGTTAACTAAACATGGAATACAAGTTGCAATAAGACTAGGTACATCTCCTTGTATTAAGTTTGGACAAGGCAACCCAGTAGGAGGAAAAGGGTCTCAAAAGCAGTCAAATGAGTCAAAGACAGCCCCTGCTCCCACCGTTAGGAGTACCACAAGAACCAAGCTACACAACCATTGCATAGATGCAAAGGGCCTTGGTCATTCCCATGCAGGCTCTCTGATTGTTGGTACAGTCTCTGTGAGCCCCCATGAGCCCAGGTTAGCTGGGTCTGTGGGTTTTC